AATAATAATAATAACCCAATTAAAAAATGAGCAGAGGACCTGAACAGACATTTCTCCAAAAAAGAAATAGAGTTGGCCAACAGGCACATGAAAAGATGCTCCACATCACTAATTATCAGGGAAATGCAAATCAAAACCACAATGAGATACCACCTCACACCAGTTAATGACCACCATCCAAAGACAAGAAATAACAAGTGTTGGCCAGGATGTGGAGGAAAGGGAACCTTCCTACACTGTTGGTGGGAATATTAATCGGTGCAGCCATTGTGGAAAGCAGTATGGAGGTTCCTCAAAAAACTAAAAACAGAAATACCATACAACCTAGTAATTGTACTTCTGGGAATTTACCTGAAGATAACAAATCCCTGATTTGAAAATATATATGCGTTACTATGTTTATTGCTGCATTATTTACAATATGGAGGCAACTGAGTGGCTATGAATAGATAAATGGATAAAGAAGAAGTGGTACATGTACACAATGGAATATTGTTTAGCCATAAAAAACAAAGTCATCTTGCCATTTGCAACAACATGGATCTACCTAGAGGGTATTACGCTAAGTGAAATAAGCCATGCAGAGAAAGACAAATACTATGTGATCTCACTTATTTGTGAAATCTAAAAACAAATTAAAACAAAATGGACAAAATAGTAGTAGACTCATAGACACTGAGAAGTGACTGGTAGTTACCATGGGGGAGGGGTTGGGGTTGGTTAGTGGGGAGAGTCAAGGGGATAAAAGAGCAAAAATATTAATCATAATATAAGTTAGTCACAGGGATTGTAGTACAACATGGAGCTAATACAGCCAATGATTCTGTAATGTCTTCCTGTGTTGACAGATAGCAACACACTAGTATGGGTGAAGGTTCAATAATATGGATAATTGTTGAACCACTGTGTTGTGTATACTTGAAACCAATAAAATATTGTATATCAACTATACTTCAATAAAAAATATATAAATAAATAAGTTTTAAGAAAGAAGTGGTACATATACACAGTGGAATTCAGCTATAAAAAAGAAGGAAATCCTTCCATTTGTTGGATACACCTAGAGGGTATTATGCTTAGTGAAATAAGCCAGGCAGAGAAAGACAAATACCGTATGATTTCACTTACTTGTGGAATCTAAAAACAGAAGGAAAAAGAAAAAATGCTCGATGTCATTAGTCACTAGGAAAATGCTTATTAAAAATGAGATACCACTAAACTTATAACCACTAACATGGTTCTAATCAAAAACATAGAAAATACCAACTGTTGGTGAGGATGTGGAGAAATTGAAACCCTCATAGATTGCTGGTAAGAATATAAAATAGTTCAGCCCTTTCTGGAAAACAATTTGACAGTTTCTTAAAAAGTTTAACTTAGAAACTTAGTATGTTACCCAGCAGTTCCATTTCTAGGAATCTAGCCATGAGAAATGAAAATATATTTCCTTGCAAAGGCATGTACACAGATGTTCATAGGAGCATTATTTATAGTAGCCAAAACTAGAAACAATTCAAATTTCTAACAGTGAAGGAGTAAACTAAAACAGGAAGTCCATACAATGGAATATTATTCAGCAGTAAAAAGGAATGAAGTACTAATACATGCTACAACATGAATGAGTCTTGGACATGTATCTGAAGAGAAAGGTGTCAGACACAAAGGCCACATGTTGTATGATTCCATTTATATGAAATATCCAAAAAGGCACATTTGTAGAATGAGAAGACATCATAAGCTGGAGTTGAGAGTAGTGTTTAACTGTAAGTGGGCTCAAGGGAACAGTTTGGGATGATGGAAAGGTTCTAAAATTGGATTGATGGTTCCCCAATTCTATAAATTTGTTTTCAAAATCATCAAATTGTATATTTATAGTACATAATTACATCTGAAAACCTTTTGTAAAGGAATTTTCACAACCAAGAAAGGCGTTTTATGCTTAAATTTTGAGGGTTCTTCTAAACCCTGATGCAACAAGGATTGATTTGTTTACATTGTCACATAAACCCTCTGACTTATGTGTTTAATCTTACCTGACTCACAAGAATAATAATCTTTAAAGAAATAACTATTTACATGCCAGCCTTTGTATCAAACACATTCTTCCAACACCTTTTTGTGTTTCTTAGTTCTACATAAATGGCTTTGGATTTCATCTTCAGCTGAAGTTTTGCTATTCATTCTGTTAGTGGTCTTGTCTTTGACAGATTTCTTACCAGGATGATACAAACTTTTAAATGGAACAATTTTTATATGCTTTTAATGTCTCTGGTTAAATTCTTTGATACACTTACCAATGAAAATGTAAAGTCTCATTTCTGAAATGCAGCTTCGGTTTTACTTGTATGTTTATCTTTCCTTTAAAAATAGAATATGCCTCTCTGGGATCACTCTATGATTACATTAATAGCAACAGAAGTGAAGAGATGGACATGGATCACATTATGACCTGGGCCACTGATGTAGCTAAAGGTAATAATGCTTCATATATTCTTATAGAATTGGTAGAGACTATTCCCATCCTGGCATGGTGACTTCAGTTAGATTTGTTCTTCTGTGTCTTTAAATGTTCTCCCTTTTTCAGACCAAAAGCAGCAAGAAGTCTGCAACTTACTGTATAGATAATATTTTAGGTAATTTCCTTTCCACTCTTGCATTCCTTTTCTCTCTTTCCTTTTTCTTTCCCTAAACTAAGGCCCAACAAAATCAGTGGCTCAAAAGCAGGCATTCTTGACACACTTTGTGACACTGAAATTGACCAGCTTGTTTGACATTTTAGATGGAAAGATCATAACACTGTTGATCTAAAGGTCTCCTTAGAATTAATATCCAGAAAACATGATTTATTGTAGGATTAGTTCTACTCATTTTGTATACATAATAATATGTTAAAAATAGTAATCACTTACAAAAACAAAGTTTTATTTGTCCTGCCATGTAAAAGCAATTCAGAATTTATTTTATATTTAATGTAAACTTGGAAATCACCCTTGGAAATGAAATATTTTTAATACACAAAGTCCCTAAACAAGATGCCCAGTTCTTTTTCTCTCATAAATTCCTGTATGGACTAATGCTTTTTAAAGCAATTTAAATTCCATTTTTTTAAATCTTTTTTTCCCCATTTTCTAACTGATCATTTATGAGTTCTATTTATAGCTAAGTTGCTTTGGAAACAAATTAATCTAAATAATGAACACTAATAGTTACATTTGTATTCTAGCAACCCCTAGAAAGTAAGTTTGTCCAAATATTACTTTTGCAATTAACTCCTTTGCATTTTGATACTCCAGTCTCTACAGGCATCTCTTTACAAAGAAATTGAAAGGGTATTTAGCACTCAATAAGGAGAGCAACTCATACTTTGCTTTCACTGAGAAGTCACACAGTGACTTTCAAATGTAGTCATCTTTCCTTTGGAGAGTTATCTTGTCTCTGTTCTAAGTTTCATCAGCACCTGCTAAATTCTTCAAATAGAGAGAGTGAATTTTTTAAGTTTATACTAAATGCTTCTGTTGAGAGATACTTCATTACCTTATAAGACTAATAAGCTCTATATTTTGGATGGTGTACTTAGGGCTTTGGCTGTGTTAATTAACTTAATTGTGTATTCATTCATCAGCCCTTTCAAATCAGCCTTAAAATTTCGCATTCTTCAAGGCATTTTCATGTAACATCATAGTCATTACTCTGCATGTCAGTACAACACAGGGACCACTTGTTTGTAGTAAGCAGAGTGATGTGCTGTTACTGGGAACTGCCTGAAGCATTGTGAAAATAATTAACATAAATGTAAACATACACAAGCAACTTTGACTTAAAGCACTTTACCTTACAGACATCTGCGTTTAGGGTGCTCAGCCAATTACACCCATTTTATTACTTAATGGCACTTAGGATTAGATAGACAACAAACAAATCAACTGATATCAGTCACTCGTCTTCCTGTTGTGCACACTCTACTTAAGCTTCCCTGGCCCCCAGCCTGTAAACTGTGTCCCTCCTGACCCGTTCCCCTGCAAGAGTCTCTGTCTGAGGAATGAGCCCCTTAGCTCCAGCTCAGTCATTCCTGGGGTTTGTCAAGACTACTTGCACTCTGATCAGAAGGACAAAGAAGAGAAGGAACAGTACTAAGTAGCAAACTGGAACTAGGGATGGGGAGAATGGGAGTAGACCATGGGACAGTGTCCAGAGCTACAAGGTAATAAAATCACCTTTTTGTGGCTGGTGAATTGATTTGAAAGGCAAATTCTAATGTGCTTGGCCTTAGAAGAGTGAGGCAGAGAAGAGACTTGTTTGTTTATAGTCATCAGTAATACTTAATATTTAAAATGACCTATACAAAGAAAAAGAAATCAATGCTATTAGAATGATTTCAGCCTTCTCTGGTAAAGCCATGTGTAGAACTTGGAGATTAAATAGGAAGGCTTGATTTTTGTTGTTTCTGTTTCAAATTCAGCTACATACCTTTCTGACCATTATTGAAGCCACTGAAGCAACAAGATATTGGGAAATCAAAGAATGAATAATTCATTTCAAAATAAGAGTTGATTCATGAATTTTGACATAGGCATTGCTTGACATCACTGCTCAGAGAATACTTCCTCAAAGCCAAAAAAGCTGCTTTTCTTTCTGGGTGGAAAGGGAAGGGAAGGGCTGACCAGCAAGTTTATCTGAAATGGCTGCCAGTCAGTCAACAGCATGTAAAAGGAGCCGCTGAAGCAGGTGCCCCCAGCTTCAGTCTCACAGTGGTCATCACTGGATCCAGATCTCTCCCAGATGACCTGTCAGATCTTTTAGGAAATGCTGAGTCTTAAAACCAATGAAGGTATTTTCAGCCTTTTGAACTATTTGCAATAAAAATTAGGCAAAATTATAGATGGTTCTATAAAAACATAAAATTTCATATGAGTGTACTATGATCATATACACTAAATATACTGTGAAAGTATGCTATAGACAGATAATTTATAGTACTTTTTTTCATATCTGCCATAGGGAAGAAAAGTGCCTATATTTAATACTTGAGTGTAGTTTCTTTAAATCCTTACTTGCCAACAAGTATAAAAATTGTCTAGCTCTGCCTCTATAGTAATTAAATTCTACCTGAAAAGTTATTCAGGAATTTGATTGATAAAGCCAGAGAGAGGTAACTATGAAATTCAGTCATAAAAATTAGTAAGTTATACAAGTTGTAGCTATTCAATTGTCACAGTTTGTAGTATGTAGAACTTCATATTAGAAGAAAGATTTCCTTTATTCCAATTACATCTTGTTTAAGATCATTTAAATTACTAATATATGTTAACTTGACTCTTTTCTGTAATATCCTTATGTGGCAGGAGTTTATATGTTTTTATTTTCTTTGCTCTTTTATGATTCTTCAATATATAATAATCAGAATAATAGAAAAATAATCATTTTAAAAATTAACCTTGTAAAATTGATATTTTCTATGTACTTAAAAAAAGGAACCAAAGCCTAGTTTAAATTATGTTTAATAGATAGTTCATTAACAGAATGAGCCTGTTTTTGATTTGGGGCAAGGGGCTATTTCTCCCATTATTTAGAAAAGACAACTTGTGAAATAAAGGGAGAGAAAATATTTCAGTAGAAAATGTTCTTTTTCTTTATTCTAAGGCTGCAGGCAAAACATAAATATAGAAAAAGGGGAACGAACATGTTAAGGAGATAACTGAAATACGTGTCTTTTAAAGTATAATTTTTTTGTTCAAAAATAATGAAACTCTACTTAATGTACATCCAGTTTACTGGAGTAACTTGATGTACATTCTATATACGTTGGAGAGAATTTTGGAGTGCATTAATATAGATTACCTGAAAGATTTATCCATGTAAAAAGAAAAAGTATTTTGTAACTACAGTATATTTTTCCATCTGAAGATCATAACCTCAGCTAATGAATCTGACCAGTTCTCCCCACCCTGCCCTGCCTCCTTCCCAGGGCCTTACTGGAGGGAGTACTGAGAAAGTAAGCCCAGCTGCAGCTGCGTAACTGCAGACATCCAAATGCAAACCAAGCACCTGCTCAGAGCCTTGACTCTTTGGGAAGTGGTGGTAGTGAATACCTTAGTCACTGGAGCACTTCTTCAGTTGTAACTGCTATTTCCGTGCAGACTCCAGAAAATTAAGGTGCCCTTTTTACGTATTGTAAGAAGTTAGCTTTGCCCACAACCAAATTCAAACTTCTAAGAGAGTAAAGCACATAAATTTTCCTTAGCATTAAATTTTCCTAATGTAGACATACCTTGTCTCTATTTTATCAATCATGTGTGAACAGAACACATATATTTTAGTTTCTGCAATTGAATGCTTTGCAAAGATATGAAAAGTAATACCAATGCAGTATTAAAAAATGGTATTAATAGGCCTTTCTTCCTTCTTGCATGAAAAGGAATGCACTATTTACATATGGAGGCTCCTGTCAAGGTGATTCACAGAGATCTCAAGTCAAGAAATGGTAACGTAGTCATGTTTTCATTGTACCTAATGTATTAAAAGTACATACACCTGTGTATAGAAATAAGCATCATGCTTTCCATATCTTTTGGAACCTGCTGGTTTGACTCACCACTGATACCATGAAAATCTTTTCCACTGTTAATGAATATCAAAATTCTCCATTTATTTCAAGAAGATGCATAGTATTCTGCTGTATAAATAGCACAGAAATATGGACAGTTGGTTTGTTTACATTTTTTCTAGGATTAAAAAGGTTGAGCTTAATACTTTTCAGCAAAATTTTTCAATACATCCTTAATTATTTCTCTAGAATTATTTTCTGAAAGAGATAACTCTTTCATAGTCTGTAGTCATTTATTTCTAGTCTCCTGTTTTTAGATGGTTCTCTGTACTAGCACTTTTGAGTTTTGTTCTTACTACTTCTGAATTCTTTGGTGTAAATTTTTGTTTGTCATATTACCTGGAGTAGTATGCAAAAATGATCAGCATATTTAGAAGTCTGAAAAGTTAAGGCTTTCTTTTTCTTCTTTCTCTTCTTCTGTACTCTTTAAAAGTTTGTTAATGGTCCCATCTTCTATAAGTTGGAGATTGAGCATTTTAAAATGACTTGCAGGATTAGAAGTTACTGAAGGGCCCCCACCAGTAAGATGGCAAACTTCCGGCTTCTCTTCGGGGTCCTCGGTTCCCGCCGGCGCCACCTGAAGCCCAATCACCTCTCGCTCCCCTCCCAATCCCAGCACCTAGCCAACAGCCAACAGCCCCGTAGAAGTGACACCTCAATCAATTCATGCCCCTTCCTATATAACCCAGTACCTTTCCCTAATAAAGCGGAAGTCTCCGGTGAATTGCTGCTATGTGTTGCTCCTTTCCTTTCAGTTACCTTCAAGTAGGAGTGTTAACAGAATGCTTCTTCGATTGCATCACTTGCAAGTTAATAGGAACAGGCAGTGGGATTATTTAGCTAGCCAGCAGCAGCTAAAGTAGACATCAGAGTACGCTACTTAAAAAACTATCTTCCTGTCAATTCATACATGCTTTAATTATTTACATGCTTTCTTAGTGATTCTTCTAAGAAAGGAGGAGGAGAGCCATTTATTTGTAAAAAATCTTAAATTACTGTGGTTAACATGGGTATTTTGTACTAATTTTAGTAATAATGCAGTCCTTCGAATGGGTAGTCACGGTAAGCAGAGGAAGAGGAGGGAATGGACCAGCTGCCTTTGCTTACATGTCAGGACTGGGAGTTTTGTGGGGGTAGAGAAAGGGAAGTTAGGGGCAGCTGCCACTCATCAGTAGTCTAGGTTGGACCACCAGCTTGACACCACCAGTCAACTCTGGCTGATTGTTCTGCCTTTTTTCTAGGTCATCACTTACCACTGGCTCTTCGTAGACATGCTTCCTGGAGCTAAACACATCTGATACAGCTGGCTAACAGGAGCTAATCTAAAACCTGTCAGAGTTTTATGACTTTGTAAATTTTCAGTTTATGCTCAGAATTTCAATCTAAACAATTTATTTGATTTCTCTCCTTTTTATCCGCTTTATCAGTATATCCTAAATATCACAAGAGGAGAATGATTAAATTATGGGTTTATCCATGTTGTCCTGGAAACTAAGTAACAATGGAGACTGTCCCCATTTTACAGAATTACAACTTACATAGTTACTTGATGAGAAAACACATCCATATTGAAACAAGATAGACCTAACTTTCAGCAATTTTTTTTTTCTGGGATGGGGAATAACAAGACTTTTGTTTTCTATGTTAATACATTTTTAAATGTTAGATTTTTTTATATAAATTAGCACTTATTAATCTAATACTGAGAAAAAAGTAGTAGACATATTTTTTTAAATAACTGAATATAGTATTAACAATATTTACATTTTTAATTGAAAAAGTTTATAGGTTATTATATATAGTATCACATTTACCTTAGGCTATTTCTATATATTAGATCATGCAAATTATTTTCCCCACTTATCAAAGTTGTTAGAAGCAGCTGATAAGCATTGATCATCCACCATGTTTAAGGCACCTTTTGGCTTACAAAAGAAATGCCAGAAACAGTTCTTCATGGTTCTGTCCTTGGCCTCCTCATCACCCACTCCCATGAAGACCACATCTACATATTAACATTTCCCAACAGATCTCAACTTCAGAGCTATACATTTAACTGCAATTGGACATGGCCACATAGGTATTTTGAGTGACTCTAAAATGTATCCAAATCTGTATTTTCATCTTCTCTCTGTCCCCTAAAAAGTTATTCCTGCACTCCCTTTCTCAGTGAGTGGTAATACCAGTTGTCTGAGCCATAAATTCAATTAAAAGGAATCAAAGTTTGATCCCAGAGCTCCTGTTCTAACCATTATGCTGTATTGCCTCTTTGCTTGGTTTCATCCTTGGGTCCTCCTGCCTCTCCCCTCATGTCTAGTTATTCAAGCCCAGTGGATTCTGTGCCCAAGTGTTTTCTGACCCTGTCCAATTCTCTCCTGGCCTTTGCCACACAGCCTTCTACGTGTGCTGATCACTCTTGGACTACAACTTGTGTGCACAATGATCTTCTTGCCTCCAGTTCTCCTCCTCTCTAATATACTCTCCCCTCTGTGCATTTGACCATTTTCATTTCTCCATTTAAAATTGTTCATTGACTGCATTTCTCACAAAAACGCTTCTGGACTTGGCCCCCACCTTCCAAAACTGTGTGCCTTTTCCTCGGTTCCTGGCTTTTCCAAGGCTCTTTCTTCTGCCTAGAAAACTCCTTTCCTTCCCCAGCTCTCCTCTTTTTGGCTAATTCCAATTCATTCTTCAGGCTTTTTAACGTAAGCATCATTTCTTCCAGGAAAATTCCTCTGCTTTCCTTAGACTTAGATATCCCTTGCTCTTTGGTTCCATGGCAATCAATCTCTATGTCTCTCGTCATGGAATTTATCCCGCTTTACATGGATATTTGTTTCGTTGTCTCTCCCCTTACACTCTAAGCCCATGAGAGCTGAGGCAATCTCAATCTTGCTCACCTTCCTCTTCTAGAGCATAGTATATGGTCTTGCCCATTGTAGGTGCTCAACAAATATTTGTTAAATGGATGAATGTACAAGTAAGTGAATGAATATATATTGTCCTTGCCTTCAAGAAAGTTACTCCTCAGTTGGGAGGAAGAACCACATACACCGTGAAGTGCGCTAATGACTTCCTCGGTAGTCTAGAGGCAGAATCCAAGTAAAACTTTGGTTCTTCTGACCACTCTTAATCTCTACTACTACTGGACAGTGCTACTATGTTTGATTTAAGCAAATGTCCTGAAAGCCTCCTTATTCAGCAGCTTATGGGATTCGTTTTTTGTTTTTGGTTTAATATAAATTCCTTTTTGCAAAATCTTCAGTGCACTAAAAACTTCAATTTTACTTTTCATAGTACCGTAAGGAAGATAGAAATTAAAGTTTATGATTTTTTTCAGCATAAAATAACTCAAATAGATGATTCTGGTAATTGATTTATGATTTCTGTTTGTTTTTTTTTTAGTTGTCATAGCTGCTGATGGGGTATTGAAGGTAGGATTGTTTCTTTTAATTTTTTATAACCAAAATTATTGATTTCAGATGTAGGCTTTTGTGACTGATAATTCTGTTATTAGTCAATAAGGAGAAAGTTAGTACTTGTTTTTCTTTTCTCAGATCTGTGATTTTGGTGCCTCTCGTTTCCATAATCACACAACACACATGTCTCTGGTCGGAACTTTCCCATGGATGGCTCCGGAAGTCATCCAGAGTCTCCCTGTGTCTGAGACTTGTGACACATACTCCTATGGTGTGGTGAGTTCATTTCTTGTTTTTGTTGCTAAAGGAAATACAAAAAGCAGACAATGTACATAAGCAGGTTACAATTTAACAGTTTTAAGACAGTGATGCTGTTTCTGGGGAGATGTCCAGAGCAGTGGTGATAAAGAGAATACTTCCCATTTGCTAGAATGTTTACTTTGATCACTTCTGTGCTTCTGAGTTCTCTTGTCCTGTGTTGAGAAGAAACCAATGGCACTTCAAGAAGCAAATTAGGTAGAACCTAAAATAGTGTTAGGCCTGATGTGCTTCTGTGAAGAACGTGCTTTCCTGGATGGACATACATCTGTAGAATATTTCTGTAAGTCAGTGGAAATGTGGTTACTTGGAACAGGCCTTCATTATAAGTTGCTCAAAAACACCAATAGATCTGCCAAATGAGTTAATTAAGAAGAAATTTTTGAGTATCAACTATTAAACTGATTAGTGAGTTCCTGGAGAGAACAGAGGCAAATGTACTTAGCATTTAGCACATGGCCTTGCCCATGTCTGCTTCAAGTCCTACAAAGGAGAAGTGGCTGTCTGAGACATGAACCTAAGGTGTCATGTAAGACTCACAACAGAGCAACATAGTTGCAAGAACAGTAATAGGGGAGAGGGTGTGATGCCCAAGGAATAGAGACCACAGGAATGAATCAGTTAAAGAAGAAGCTTATAGAGAAGTTTTGAGACAAATCGTTCTTATTTTCTTTTAATTGAAGCATAGTTAATATACAGTCTTATACTGGATTCAAATACACAACACAGTGTTTCAACAGTTACCATAGCACAGTCCTCACCTCCACTAGTGCAGATACTGTCTGTCAACATAGGGAGATGTTACAGAATCATTGGCTGTATTATCTTCTGTGACCAACTTACATTACGATTGAGAAGTTTTGTGCCCCTTTATCCCCCTCACCTTTCCTACAACCCACCCCAACCCATCCCTCATGGTAACCACCAGTCACTTCTCAGTGTTTGGGAGTCTACTGCTGTTTTGTTTCTTCTGTTTTGCTTTGTTTTTATATTCCACAAATAAGTGGAATAAGTTCTATCTGACTTAGCAAAGAAAGAAGTGGGGGCAGGGGGGTTGGAGGGGAAAATGGACATTTATTTGTTGCCCTTTTTTGAGGATAGGTTTTGTTTGTTTTTTCTCTAGGGGATAAATTTTTTAGCTCTAAAAATATAGTATATGCTTTAAAAGGTCCAAAATAATATTTGGAACACCCCGTGTTCATGTCTCATCTCCCAATCATACTGCCTCTCTATTATTATTACTACTTAAAAGACATTTTCATAATGGGTAAAGAAGTTGTTTTGACCTTAATCAACATGCCTCTATTACTGAACTTCTGTTTTCGACTAAAGATGATAGCTGACCGTACAAGAGAAATCACCATTTTCAAGCCCATTCCTTTTCCTCTAGAGTTCACCAGTCTCAGTATTTATTGCTGGCTTAATGACTTAAGTTTTGGGCTTGTTTCAGTTGGCTAGCTAGTTCTAAATAAATCATAATACAGCTTACATATACCAGATTCATTTAATATAATGAGATGAGTTTTGTTGGCTATTGAAAAAAATCATTTCAAGAATGAAATACATGTTTTTGGCCAAAGTCTAGAATTTTAAAGGTTGGAAGACAGCATTAGTATCAAGCTGAATATGTTATTTCCCTTAATTCTGTGTGTTTCTAAGAATGAAAGCTATACCTTATTAGAAACAGTAATCAAATAATTCTCATTGAAAAAGGGAAAAAAGCCATAAGTTCCTGAAAAGACTAGATTCCAAAACAGTTTCCCTATCTCAAAAGTTAACTACATTTTGGTAATTCTACAAATCATCTACTGGGGAGTCTGAAAAAGGGGGGGTTTATTGCAATATAAGACTTTTTGTGAGGTTTTCTCTTATGAAGTTATGTTCCTTCATTCTTAAGCAAAAATCTATTGTGTGAGACACTGTGCTACTAGAGCAACTTAGGGTAACTTAAATTTACTTTGCCTGTTCCTTGGAACCAGTGTCTTATTTTTTCCTGTGGAACAGGAAAACCGAACTTTTTCTGTAAAGAACCAGATAGTAAATATTGTAGACTTTGAGGACCATTTAAAGCCTCTTTTGCATATTCTTTTGTTTTTTACAACGCTTTAAAAATGTTAAAATCACTCTGTATTCTGCAATAGCCTGTAGTTTGCAAACCTCTCTGTGTAACAAGAGGGATGGGAAGACAGCATAGCTAAGGAAGGTCACAGTATTTTAGCAAGAGACTACCATTCTCTCTCCTTTCACTTGTGTGTGCATATGGATATATATAAACATACTTACACAATTATAATCTTTTAATTATTGTGCACATTTACATGAGGTAGAGGATTGTTGAGGCTTATTTTAGAGCTCTACAAGTTTGTGTACAACGCTTTTGCTTTTAAAATTCTCCCCAAGTCCTGGAATTTTCCGATCTCAGAAATTTTGACCTGAAAACACAACTATGAGTTATGTATAGAGTAAAATGTCTCATCTCCCAATCATACTGCCTCTCTATTATTATTACTACTTAAAAGACATTTTCATAATGGGTAAAGAAGTTGTTTTGACCTTAATCAACATGCCTCTATTACTGAACTTCTGTTTTCGACTAAAGATGATAGCTGACGGTACAAGAGAAATCACCATTTTCAAGCCCATTCCTTTTCCTCTAGAGTTCACCAGTCTCAGTATTTATTGCTGGCTTAATGACTTAAGTTTTGGGCTTGTTTCAGTTGGCTAGCTAGTTCTAAATAAATCATAATACAGCTTACATATACCAGATTCATTTAATATAATGAGATGAGTTTTGTTGGCTATTGAAAAAAATCATTTCAAGAATGAAATACATGTTTTTGGCCAAAGTCTAGAATTTTAAAGGTTGGAAGACAGCATTAGTATCAAGCTGAATATGTTATTTCCCTTAATTCTGTGTGTTTCTAAGAATGAAAGCTATACCTTATTAGAAACAGTAATCAAATAATTCTCATTGAAAAAGGGAAAAAAGCCATAAGTTCCTGAAAAGACTAGATTCCAAAACAGTTTCCCTATCTCAAAAGTTAACTACATTTTGGTAATTCTACAAATCATCTACTGGGGAGTCTGAAAAAGGGGGGGTTTATTGCAATATAAGACTTTTTGTGAGGTTTTCTCTTATGAAGTTATGTTCCTTCATTCTTAAGCAAAAATCTATTGTGTGAGACACTGTGCTACTAGAGCAACTTAGGGTAACTTAAATTTACTTTGCCTGTTCCTTGGAACCAGTGTCTTATTTTTTCCTGTGGAACAGGAAAACCGAACTTTTTCTGTAAAGAACCAGATAGTAAATATTGTAGACTTTGAGGACCATTTAAAGCCTCTTTTGCATATTCTTTTGTTTTTTACAACGCTTTAAAAATGTTAAAATCACTCTGTATTCTGCAATAGCCTGTAGTTTGCAAACCTCTCTGTGTAACAAGAGGGATGGGAAGACAGCATAGCTAAGGAAGGTCACAGTATTTTAGCAAGAGACTACCATTCTCTCTCCTTTCACTTGTGTGTGCATATGGATATATATAAACATACTTACACAATTATAATCTTTTAATTATTGTGCACATTTACATGAGGTAGAGGATTGTTGAGGCTTATTTTAGAGCTCTACAAGTTTGTGTACAACGCTTTTGCTTTTAAAATTCTCCCCAAGTCCTGGAATTTTCCGATCTCAGAAATTTTGACCTGAAAACACAACTATGAGTTATGTATAGAGTAAACTTTTGGTTTCAGTACTATTTCATTTATGAAAACAAATTTCACACTTCCTTCTTCCAAAATCTTGCAGTTGTCAGAGGTGTGAAATGCACGCGCTGCTTTTCCTAGCTGAGGGAGAATCCTAGCTGCAGAAACCAAGAGTGAATCCCTTTTCACACGTAAAAGATGTTAGAAGGTGACTTGTTTACAGGTCTTAAATTTTTTTCCTGTATCTTTTTTAAATCCCTTTCACTCATTACACATTGACTCCTCATGTTAAACATAATTGGAATCAACCTTTCCAAGCTGTCAATGTTCAGTTTTATTTTACTAAAAAGCTTTTCCGTCAAGTAAATGTGTACTACTTTTTAGTCAGTGGGCCTGAACATTTCTCTTTATGAATTAGGTTCTCTGTTTACTCGTTTACTGACCTTGTCCTTGTTTTGTTTTAAGGGATTTAACAAGTGCTTAACAAGTCATTCTATAAAGTAATTTAACTTACAGCAAGCTTTATAGGCAGTTGCTGAACATTTCCAGTGTTGCTCTATATTTACACACCAGATGTGGCTCTTCAGAACCTGTTTGCCCCAGTCACATGCTTTTGAATATCAATTTTACATTTATATCAGTCTTTTTTTAACTGGTGAAAGCAAAAATGCCTTTTCAGTGAATCTGTTTGTTTTAAAAGAGTGTCTGCTTTTTTCTGTATCACTGGGAATGCCAGTTATCCTAACCCTATCCTGTCAGCAGAATTCCACTCAGAAAAGTGCATATAGGCTAATTTAATTATAAATGAGAATTCTGTTCTCAATAAACATCGTTAGTGAAAGAAAAGGTACAAGGCATGCTTTCCAGAGCTTTTTTGTTTAAACAATCACAGATTTTTTTTGTATCATTAATCTACAATTACATGAGGAACATTATGTTTACTAGACTCCCCCCTTCAACAAATCCCCCCCACATACCCCATTACAGTCACTATCCATGAGTGTAGTAAGATACTGTAGAATCACTACTTGTCTTCTCTGACAATCACAGATTTTTTAAAGATGAAGAAAACATTACATAGTCAAAGTAGGTATCCCCTAAAAGAGAAGGAAAGGACAGTTGTTAAGGTAGGGGCCATGTTAATTTTCAAAGTTTGTAGTCCATGAGCTTTGTAAATGGTACCTATCTAGGAAAACAATGTGATTATTTAGAATCTCTGATGTCCTTTTAAAAATAAGTGAGTAGCCAAGACTCATTTGTCAGTAGGAGCTTTCTTTGTATGAAATATCCCATAGTTCCTTTTTAAAAGTCTGTTCTGTTAGTTGAGCCCCACGTACAGAGCAGTCACACACAGATGAATAAGACCACTAAAAAGAAGCTGTGCTTTTTTGAAACAGCCGCACAAGAAAAAACAATATACTTTTGCTTTTTATTTTTCTATTTCCTCAAACTTGCTGTAAACATTTAGACCCTGATTATTATCAATGTACGAAGCCTTCCCCAGCCTGATAAGCCTGTGTGCTTCTTAACACATGGAAAAACTAATAAGCATGGTACAGCCTTAAAATAAATGTGCTACAAATGCCAGGCATAGATCTTGTGATCCTTGCTTCTAAGATGGTAAACTTTGCTAGGCAGGAAATTATTTCTCACTCCGTGTTGTAAGACAGGAGATTTTCCTATCCCGTATGATGACTTCCCTTAAAGGAACAAGCCAGAGTGGTGGTTAATGTTATCCACAAAAAAGAAAAGGGTTAAGGAAAATAAAAATCATTGGAAGAATAAGCCATCTATCTGAGAATGAAGGGCTAGCCACTCTTTAAAAACAAAGTTATCCTAATAACAATGCAGAAAGGATCACCTTCTTAGAACCTTCTCAGCCAAAACCAGCTTTGGAAAACAGAGTGGCTTAAGAGAGAGCATCACTGCCTTATTTGTCTGTGAGCCTGTTCCAGAACATGCCCAGCTCAGGTAATGGCTTTCCATTGTTTGTAAAAGAAAAGGCAGGAAAAGTACACAGGCTTGTCCAAGTTTCTCTTCTGTAAACTGAAAATAGAAATTTTCCTTTTGAGCACAATTTCAACATGAGGATGTTTCAATACAAAATGAGTTGGGAAATATTTTTAAGATGAAAGGTCACAATCACGTTTGGCCTGCATCCCCATAACTAACATTTTCATATTCATAGGCATAGTTTAATGTATTTTTAGATCTCCAAATGACTTCCTCAACAAAGCTAGTTTTTTATGCCAAATGTCATTGTTTTTAGTGCAGGAAAAACTGGTGGTATCTTGTACCAGCTACTTTTTGATACATTCTTCGGTCTGACAAATCAATAACAGGAAATCGTGAGATGTGCTGACGTAGAAAGAAGCTAAGCCCTTTGGGCCTCAGAGCCCAGTGGCTAGTGATGCCATCCCTGACAGCCTTACCTCCCTGCAGTGGCCGCCTCAGCAACAGCTGAGACACAGAGAGCCAGTAAAATGAAACTATTATTTTCCAGTGTTAGAGCTCTTAGAGAAATTCGACTTGGATCTTACTAGACTTTGAACATTTCCCAACTGAATATTTTGGAATGAATGACATACATCTTTCCTGTTGTTATTTCCCTGGTTCTTAGTGTTTGATTTTACCTCTCAAAACGCAGTCCATCTTGGTGTTGGTCTTACTGTGCGCCAGGCCAAACTCGGAAAGGAGGGGTGCAGTGTAGAGCTGCTCATCTGAACGTTTTGGGGTCTGGAGCATTTGATTTAATTGAGGCTGATTCACTATTCCCATTCTCCTTAGGAATGCCAAATCCATTAATTCACTTGCTCTTCATATCCTCTCCCTTCTCCAGCCGCCGCGCCCGGCAGGTGGGGGGTAATTGCACCAAGTCAAGGGGCTTCATTTCCTGCCATGCCACCTCCCGGCCCCTGCCCTGTGCAGGCGGTGCATCGGGTGATGGCATACCTGTTCTGGTTCATGCCCTCCCTTTGCTTACAGTGTTCATGAGGACGGTCCCCTTCTGAGATGCCCCTTACCTTTCCCTAATCATTTCTGTGACTCAAATAGAATTATTCAGCAGCTCTTCTAAAGAAGTACCTTACACACTTGATTAAAAGCCCAAAGAGGCTTCAGTGAATTTTTTTCTCCTGCTTGAGCAGCATCTGCCAATTTCCCTGATTTTCCTGCTAATTATCTTCATATTAGCCAGAATTTATTTAACAGGTTATGACTCAAATAAGACTGAGCTCTGGTTGAGGAAATAGAAACAGAGTTAAAGATTTTTAGGATTTGCTTGAATAAAGTATGTGTCCTCAATCCACATTCTTACTTAGAACTGGGTTTTTGTTTTTATAGCAAGAGAAATCGAAATCACAACTGCTGAATTCATTTGCTCCTCACTTCTGCCATGGTTTCATACTTAAGAGTGCGGCATGTCACATTGTCTCTCGTTTTGCTCCTTTTCCCTTCTCTAGAGTTACATGCGGTTGAGAGCTTGATCTTCAGGGTGAGAGCACAAGTTCATATTCTAGCTCTGCCACTTGATAACTGAGTGTCTTTGGCAGGTTTATTAACATTCTTAATCAAGCCTTAGTTTCCTCATCTATAAAATGAGGATAATGTAGTCCAATGGAATTAATATTAATCATGGTAACATATGTAAAAGTTTTAACAGAGTATCTGGAACATAATCAGTAAATGATAGTGGTTATTGCTCTTATTGATAAAATTATAATTGTTTTTGCACTTCATAAAGTATTGGTAGACTCAAATTTTGATACTTCCTTGTAAAAATAGAGAAAGTAACTGAGTGTAAAAATCTCCATTACTCGGTATTTAAAAAGAACCCAAAATCATTGGCTGTTACGAGCATTCCCAGCATCAATTTGCTTTCTTTGGGCATTCCAGTGCAGATTTATTAATTGTGCTGATCTTAAGGATTTCAGAAAGAAGCACACAGATAAATTCACACACACAAACACACACTCAGCCTATGTATATGTACATAAAGTGTTTATTACATTTCAGAATACAGTACAATAACTTATATGCAGATGGAAGTGAATTCCTTAGGCTAACTCATTTTGAGAGAGATTTCTCTACAGCACGAAATCTGAACATGATCTACCATTATGGGATAAGTAGTTTAGCCAGTGATTTGGATTTGGGGCTCGATTTTTTATTTACTTATTTTTTTTCACATGAGACCATTATTGAACCTTTGAAAGTATGGTTGAATTGCCAGTCATTATCTTATAGAGAAATTTATCATAGATTAATGGTGGAAAGAGTTTGACTAACAAAATATAAAATCTTAATTTGTGGCAATATGTGAGAATTTCTAATAACAAATGAAACAAAGTTAAATCACTTAGGGCCACTGGTTTCATACAATTTTAAGTCTGGCTGTAGATGTTTTAATTTCTAAACCAGATTTCTTTCTTTATAAAAAAGAACAAAAAATGTATACACATAATATTTGGAAGAGGTTCTGTGCATGAATATATACCTTTTGCCCAAGTTCTGTAGATGGGGTTGGTTCTGTCTGGTATTGGATACAGTTATGTGTTAGATAAAGTTTCAGTAATATACCAAAAATACAAAGTACAAGAATAAAAATTCCATTTTCTTTTTGTTCCAGGTTCTCTGGGAGATGCTAACAAGGGAGGTCCCCTTTAAAGGTTTGGAAGGATTACAAGTAGCTTGGCTTGTAGTGGAAAAAAACGAGGTAAGACTACGATACTCCATTCAGGTGCATAGATCAGAAAACAGTATTGGGGTTTTGCAAAAGACTTTTTCATCTTCTTCAAATTGAAAGTAAGTTCACGCTTATGGAAAGATTAGCAGTAGGAGCTAACACAAAGGGTCAAAGTGATGTTATTCCTCATGAATGGACCCTTTACATCTAATTGTTGCAGCTTCACGTCGTGATGCTGTAGATCAAAAATTGTACAAGTACTGTACTAGTTTCTCAGTCTCAATTGTAAAACCTAGGGGTTTGTTCTTAGTGATGAAAGAAGCCATTGCGTCCAAGGTAGGGGAACAGTTTAACTCCATCTCCTGCGTTTAGGACATCTTTTTTACTGGCCGGGAGTTGATATATCTGTAAGAGACCTTCAGCTACTTCAACTTACCTCTCCCAGCAGGAGTCACTATAGTACAAGAAACTGTCGCTTAGATGAGAATTTCAAAAATAAAAGAAGAAAAAATAGTTTCAAAAGAGGGAAAAATTACAGTTTTGCCACCTACGTTGAACACTACATTGAAGATGAGCTCCTCGCTGGAATCGGCGAGGCAGTGGCATAGCTGTTCCCTTCCTCATGCAGAGCTTTTCCACTTCAAAAGAACTTCAGTGGCGTAAACACCGTTTGTGCTGTGTCCCCAGCCTCGCTTTTCTTCTTCCCACAAATTGAGGCTTTCAGTTAGTTGGACCTATGAGCCTACATCAGAGAACATGGTACATTCATATCAAAGAGAGCAACTACATTTTGAAAGGTTTAAAATTGTGACTGAAATGCACAGCCATGGAAATTCTCAGCATAAGAATGAAGCATCCAATAGCAAGGTATTATGAGAACTTAGATCAAGTAATGGAAGCATGCAGTTGTCTTTGCAATGCAAAACAACTTTATTTCACAAAACTTCTTCATTTCCAGATTTTATCTGTGCCCTCCGCAAAAGGTAAGAGAGCAACCTTAGGATAAAATAATTTGCAAAAAGGTGAATATATAGAGATATTCTCTTTTTAATGCTTTAAAAGAATTAGATTGATCTGTTCTCCATGTGAGTACAGGAACAATCTAGACTAATCAAAAAACCACTATTGACCAAGAGAAACCAAGTTTCTATATTTTAGATCATATAATCCAGAGTTACCTTATTAATTTGTCCTCATGAGCCATTGAGAATGGATGAAATGTTCATGACAGCTGAACTTGATGGGAGAGAGCTGCCAATTTAAGAAAAATGCAAAGGAGTTATATTTAAGAATGTGTCTTCCTCATTGTTTCACAGGAGCTGTTCTGTTTTAATTTAATGTGGTAGTTATTCCTGGTGTACTGTTAGATCAGACCTCCCATGCAGGAGAACTGATGTGTTCATGAAGCCAGAACCCACTTGTTACTGTTCTGTTTCTTTTGCCAGTGAGATGATTAGATGTTTGGTTCTGGGTTTACAAATGAGAGTGAAGAAAGCTATTGACCTTCTGTTGACTTGGGAGCAGACCATCAGTGTAATTTTTTCCCTCTATATCATTTCAAGATAAACTAAAAGAAAGGGTTTTGTTTTGTTTTGTTTTAAGCTAACTGGACCCTCCAAATACATATTAAGACAGAATAATTTATTATTTGAAGTGCTATTTCATTGAAAGGATGGCAGAGAATACGTCTGAATCTAAAACACTTCCAATATTTTGGCATATCCATCAAGGATTGTTAAGGCTGATGAGAAAAATGAATTCACAAGCTGCCTTTGGATAGTTGACTCAAGGGCTGGGGATGGCCCATAAATAACCTTCAGAACCCGCTCAACATGTATTTAAGGAGGCTGTCTCCCCCTTTCCCCATGGATCCCCTTAAGTAGAGTGTACTGTTTTATCCATGGTGTGATCTGATGATCAGCCAGTAAGTGATGGAGACTATTCAGATGCCTCCCATACTGTATTTGTTAACTATAAGAGTAAGTTGAAATGGTGAAATAAGTTTTCTCAGTTTTCAAATGAACTTAAGGAAAATTGGGTATCTTAAGGATATTTATCCATCTATTCTTATTCAGTACAATATTTATTTGTCAAAAATATGGAAACCAAGTTTAAACGTAGTTTCTGTTGTTATCATTCAAGATGGTTGTCTTCATTTCACCCCATAAATGGAACTTACTACCAAAACAAATTCTGTTGCTCTAACATTGAAATAACCCTCAAGGAGTTTTCTCATTTCATAATAAAATGGAGGCTTTGACTATAATTTATAAAATTCCTTCAACATCTTATTATTTTATTTTATGTATTTTTACTTTGGAATACCTTGGGTTATTGATTTGAAAACAGAAAGCTGTATTTTTACAGGCCTCATTTAATATCTCATAAAAAATGGTGTGTTTAAACTTTCTGGAAGACATTTTAAATGTGAGCTAGTCACTCTAGAATGCACCTATTTTGAAATAGTAGGTTTTTCTTTTCCTTATATAACTTTCTATTCTGAAATAATTACAGACTCACAGAAAGCTGCAAAACTATTACAAAGAATTTTGTATACCCTTCACCCAGCTTCCCCCCACTGGTGAGATATAAGTATGATATAATGTCAAAACAAAATTGACACAGATACATTATTCTTAACTGCTCTAGACCTTACTCGGTTTCACCATTTAGGATTGCTCTTTGCATCTGAACCCTTAATAATGAAGTAAGACCTTCAAACATTAATTTTTCCTAACCTTAAATCCTATTAAAAGTAGATCCTTAAAGCACTGTTAAACTTAACAAAGCAAACAGTGAATGCTTACAGAAGGCATGAATTAAGAGGACATTTACAGATACGTAGATTTGCCTTTGTAATTTCCATGGAATTCATTTAGTGGTCATTCAGAATGTTCTGGCAGCATTATTTCTATCTTTGAAAGTACTTAGATTCTCATATAAAATGTGTTTTGTTGTACACAGCAAAACTACTATTCTTGGGTAACATAGAAATTCTTAAAACACTTCATCCATTGTTCTTGACTGTAGAAAAAGATAAAAAACTTGACTTAAAAAATAATTTTTGCATCTTATGTAGAAAATGATACAAAAAGGAATATGTTCTTCACAAAATGTCATGCTAACTTAACCACTAACCTAACTTAGTGGTTAGAAGGTATTTTAATTTTAAATTGGAAATTGTTTTACTTTAAATTATTTAAGTTTTAAGTAGTGTTGCAAACCCAGTGCTGATACCTGGTTATTTCAGAATGCTTTAATGCATTAGGAATGTACACAGTTATGTAATCAATATTTTAAGGTTTTTTTTAAAGGTATTTCTTAATGTACCAAAGTAATCTCCTACATAAAGTATCTGAGTCTAGATTTAACTGATATTTGACCATATGTCAGATAAATTAAAATAATCATGTCTCCTCTTATAATGTCTCAGATGTGGTATCTAAAAAGTTTGTCAATAAGAAAAGATGATAGAAATGACCAGCATCCGTATTCATCCAGTTCACATTTCAATTCTTGGAAAAATGTGAGATAAAGTTATATACAAAATGTAACCCTTTTTGGAAGCTATTTTTCATTACACATGGAGGACATTCAGTTGCATAATTGCAGTCACTGTCAGTTTTTATTAGTTGCCACAACCATATTTTTAAAAATAAACACCTGATTTTTCTTTTGACCTTCATCAAAAGGTTTCTAGTTCACATTACAGTAAGATATAATATAGTTTACTACATCTTGCTCTATTCATAAAACACAAAACTATAAAGTTTAAAATTCTTAGCATATTCTCTAACTTGTTTTGTTTTTCTTAATTTTAAGGTTTTATTTCTTTTGATTGATTTTAATTTTATCTGTGTTTCCAAATACAGATCATCTATTTCCTGCCAAGGCAGCTATTTTTCTAGTTTTACACATAGCCTCTCCCAAATCCAACTTAGTTTTAAGGGTTTTATTTGCAAAGCTTCTTTGGCAAACAATACTGTAGAATAAATCTTAGTACTTCTTGATACAGTGGTTCTCAACTCTGTCACACCCAGTGCCCTTTTTATAACAACTGTCTAAAGGCTCCTTCTACTTCCCTCACATGGAATTTGGAGGTTGTACAACTTACCTGTACACAACATATTGGAAGTCAACATAATGCTCTAACCATAATATAAAGAAGAAATCAATGAAATGTGTATTACTGTGTACAGGTGCTCAGGTATGACCATGGTGGAGGGGATAATGGGACAGTTTTAGATGCTTGCACCTAAGGACAAATAGAATTCAACAGCTACAAATGCAGAGTAGAGTTGGGTTGTGTTAATGATTCCAGTACCATGAGCAACACTGTTGTAGGTGACATTTTCCAAAAATCAGAGTAAGGTTATAAACAATGCAAAATCAACCTGCCCTTGATTTATTTTATTATTTAAAAGTTCAGTGCATTTTTAAACTGTTCAGAAAATACTTTTATTTATTTATAAATCAGAGTTAGATTCCAAGCTCAGAGAATTATAAAGCACCGTTTGCTTATTTTACTTACATGAATGCACACAGGGCATTTGAAGTTTGGTAGAATACAAGAGAGTTCTTAATTAGGGCTTTACAATATATTGAAGGATATCTAGCATTCTTGACCTGCTCCAGGTGCAAATCTCCATTTTAAAATAAACAAAAATGCCTGCATAGATTTCTAGACAGCCTCTTGGGGTATTAAGTGTTCTGTGAGAACCACTACTGTAAAATGGTAGAACAGGATTCATCCTCACATTATGATCTTTGACGTGTGTCAAATCCTTACAGTGTATGGGTTTGACCAGAACTAAGCCATAATGAGTCATACATTCAGAACATCTTATTTACCAATGAGAAAATGCACACTTCTTTAAAATTATCTCTGTGATCATCTGTGCTAAAGATGTTCTCAGAGCTGTACACCTCCTGCCAAAGCTGAACTGGTTTCCTAGTTGCCTGGCCTGTTTGCATTTTTCATAATAGCCTATAAAAGTGCAGTGATAGATTTGTGGTTTTAGAATTTAGTGCTCAAGTTCCAACGTGCCCCTCTTCTATTGTAATTTCTTTTAGACTTGGTTCTGTATTTTGTTGCCTTTGTTGTGCTGAACCTGATTTCTCCGTCCACTGTGATTCCTCTTTAGAGGAAAAGTGTGTCTTTATTATGATTATTTCTAGATACTATGAATCTAAATATAAATTCTCACCTGTCATATATTAATCCATGGAGGCTTTAAATTTCATGTCTTGTTTATGCTCTTAAATTAACTCTTCTGTGGCTTTTCGGTTAGTATTTGTTTACCTTAATGAGAAAAATCCATGTTTTACTTTGGGTTGGTTTTTCCTTTCTGTGTTGTAGAGATTAACCATTCCCAGCAGTTGCCCCAGAAGTTTTGCTGAACTGTTACATCAGTGTTGGGAAGCTGACGCCAAGGTATGTGTGTGTATATATACGTGCTGCTGTTGTTATTATTCAGAATTCTGAGATTTCATTTGTTTATTTGGCTTTGAGTTTTTAAAAGGGGTAATAAAACTCATTACAAAATGAGGCTGGATTGAATGTTCATTCCTGTGAGCCCCAGACTGAGTGAGTGCTAAGGCTTTCTGTTGACACCTGCTTGTCTTCATCCCTAAAAATTCATTATTGGCTTGTTCTTCCAGTACTCTGGCATTCTTGATTCATTAAAGAGAATTTTGTTCCTCTGTTTTTAATCTTTTTTAATAACTATTATATGTTATGTTATAAAAATTGCCAGCACACAGTGCTTATTATATGCCAGGCACTATTCCAAGCACTTTATATATATTAACTCATTTGTTCCTCAGAATATCTCTGTGAAATAAGTACTGTTATTATCCTCATCTTACAGATGAAGAATCAAGCCACAGGGAGGTTAAGTAAAGAGCTCAAGGTCATGGAGCTCGTAAGTGACAGGGCTGGAGAATGAACCCAAGCAGGTTGATATACATCCCTGCTCTTAACCACTACACCATGTTGCCTTTCTAACCAAAGACCAGGCAAAAAGTAGAGCACCTGTAGACAGTCTTGGTATGTACTCCCTGTCCAGTTGCAGGAATGTTTTTTAAGATACCACGATAGAGTTAAGAAAATTCCAAAATTTAGGCTTTCATGTGGTTATCACATTCAAACATGAATGACCTATTTTCTTTCCCTGCAAAGATCATTTTGAAAGACTTATGTATATATGGAAGTATTTATAAATAAGATGATAGGCAAGTCTTAAATTTGCTTCAAAGTAAAGTGAGTGGAAATGGATGACAGTATACATTAAATAAGATAGGCCATGATAATTTTTGAAACTGAGTAATAGGTATACATGGAAGTTCATTATATTGTTCTCTCTACTTTTGTGTGTGTTTGTAATTTCCCATATTAAAAAGTTAAAAAATAGAAAAAGATCCTCAAAAATTAAACATTAAAGTAAGAGAGATGCACTCAAGAAAAGAACTAAAATTTTATAGTTCAAATTTGTCCAGTTTCTCATGGAAACACACATTACAAACTGACCTTTCAAATAGAGATCTAGGAAGACTTAAGAATGGAATTTCTTCCTTAATTTAAACCCAGTTCCAATTTGACACCCAAGAGGAATGAATGATGATGACATGTAGTCTGTTCTTCTACAATATATTTCTTTAGTGGACTGATTCATAAATGTTTGGTGGGTATGGGAGCTGTGTTAATATAGCACAGAGATCACATTAAAGCATGCACAGTGTTATCCAGCACTTTGTTCCACACACCAAGAGAGAACAGCTCAGCACCAAGTGCAGCGGTGCATACAAGAGTACGGGCAGGAGCACGGCCAGGGACATGGTCTCCGAGGCCCCGTGCTCCACGCGATCCCAGCAGGCTGGCGCCAGTGCTGTGATTGGAAGCTGGCTGCTGGTTCTCTCTGGCCTTGTACATTCCATTTTTGCCCTGATAACCAGCAGCCTTTGCTTTTACTCCTATTATCAAACTACCTTCACCCTTTTTTACAGGATAAGTTTTGAATGGTCTGCCCTAATCCTGTTTAGGTCCTCTCATTTTAGTGTGTGATTTTGCAGCATATGGGGATTTTCAAGCCTTAGGAGAAATGCCTGCATTTTTGACTAATCTAATAGAGACTGTAAGTGGCTATTCGCAAGTTTGCTCCAGGACATTTATTTTATACTGTTATAATGGTATCATACTATCCTTCCTACGAATTACTTGTTCATTGTGGTATATATAGTAATTTTAGCAGTACTTTTCCCTCTGATACTTAAGTAGAAATTTCATGTGAATTTCTTTGCATTTCATTAGGTTAATACAACTAGAGCTCTATAATTATAATTATATTTCAGTATGCAAAGCAGATTTTTAATTTCCTAATTGGAAACTCTTTACTATATTAATTAAAATTCTAAGATATACATTTATGGTGTATAATTAAATGGTAGTGTAAGCACTTCACACAACAAGGACATTGAGTGTTGAGCCATGAAGTTGGCATGTCTTTAACAACATGTGGTAAGTTGACCTTCCTTTAGGACCAGAGGAATTTTGTGTTCTAGCCCAGAAAAGTATAACAAATGCTAAAGATTGATTTTTATTTCCTAAATTCATGGCATTTTATTCTAATACAACTAATACCTGCTCCCTGTATTTGATTTGTATTCATCCAGCCAGAGCCCACATTTCTAACTCCTGTTGCTGATCTCCCCCAGATGCCCCTTTCACACCTTCAGTCCCGGAAGTGCTGTCTTCTTGTCTTTTCTCCCTGATCATGTCATCATCGGGCCTTCCTCGGTTATTCTGCTCACCCCAGCCAGTCCTTGGTACTGCTTTCCTTAAACCACAGTCTGGGCTACTTCCCTACCTTGCGCCTTTGTATTTTTTTTAAGTATCTTTTCTTTCTAAATGGATGGCAGCTCTATGAGGAAATAGAACCAGTTTTTATATGTTTCCCATAGCACCTTACATAAATTTAGTAAGTAGATGCCCAATTTTTTGTGAACTAACATAGCTAGACCAAGGTTTATTTCCTGAGAGGCACATTTTAGTCCTCTGGCTGGAAGTATGTAGCAGTTTTTACCAGAAGTTGGTACCAGTCCTGTGCACATATGTAGAGCAATAATTAGTTTAAAATTTTTCTTCTTTTTTTTTTTTCAGTCCTTAGGCTTTAGAGTATTAACATAGATTAAAATATTCAGGTCACCTATAGAAATATGTTCTTTTGCAATGAGGAGGGGGCAATGTATACAAGAGACATCTGGTGTTAGGTAAATACCAAGTCATTCCAATGACTTCCACCAAGTGATCAAAATATTTTATTGAGGAAAAGAAGAAAGTAAAGGAGGGTATTGGTTCAGGTTCTAAAATGATATTTCAAATAAGGAAAAAATAGTAGTTAAAGCCCTGAGTTTAATAGGAAGTAGTATCTTAACCTCATAAAACATTTTGAAGTATTTAAAAGCATAGTCCCTGGTTCTGTAACTTGCTTCCTGGGTGATATTGAGCAATTCATACTTTTATGAGACTGATTTTCCTCATCTATAAAATGAAGGTAACAAAAATAATGTTGTAGATGCCTAATAAATGGTCCTAATTGTGACTTTGAGTAAGCAAAGTCTACGTGATACCTAAAAGGAACATAAACCCCTTCAGAGGAAGTTCCTAGACCAAATATAATCTGTAACCAAAATATTCATAGAACATTATTACCACAGAATTACATTGTTACTGCCTTTTGAATGTTCACTTTGATAGTTTCCATCTGAGAGCATATTCTACCTATAAAATTGACATTTTTCTAGGAATATTGTCACCCAGTTACAAAAGAGTTTCACCTTATTTCAAGAATGATTAAATATAGGAAAAATATTCTTCAAAAATTCATTAGCTCTTCCTGCTGCTTTTCCATGCAAAAAGGAAATCATGTATTTATGATATAATTAACTTCCTCTGCAAACAATTAAGACATTTTTCCTTTTGCAACCTAACATATGGTGGGAGAAATTAAAATCAGAACAGTTAAAAGAAGACAGAATATTTTTAAATTTCCTACTTAGGCATTTTCCTCTTTCCTTATTAGAAAGCTTAAAGTACATCAGCAACATTTAGCTACTTATGCCCTCTTCTTAAAATACACACACACCGTTAAAAGAATACAATAAAGGCAAAATACAGAGTAAATGTCCCAGTTTTACATCCCTCAGAAATGGAAAAATTGCCTTTGTTAATGTAGGAAGCACTCAAATCCTAGGAGCAAGCCACCCTCGACATTGCTCCTTCTTGTTTTTGTGCTCCTAAATTAAAATGCATATTTTAATTGCTGCAACTGTAATTTGTTCAGAAATGGTATAATTATGGGGCATGATGAGAGAACATGCATCATTTTTTTATTATCTTTTTCCATTTTTGTTGTAACCTTTTGTTTCAACCGTGGGTAGAGTCTAAAGAGACAGACTTGTGTAGTTACTAGTAGCTAAAGAAATACCCCTGACCACTGCTTTTCCAGTTTCTAGCAAATAGGAAACTCTAGCAAAGAGTTTCCCAGCACCAAAGCTAGTTACAATGCGGAGTAAATATTGATAACAATGAAGTTATGATGACTTTTAAGATTGGGGAATTTTTCTCTGAGCAATCGGTTTAGGAAATTTTATTAGTTCTGATAGATTTATATGTTTTTGACTATTTTATTATAAAATTTTACTATAAAACATTTTGTAGTAAAAAAAATTTCAAACATGTGGAAAATTTGAGAGAATTTGACATGGCACACTGGTATACCTACCACCCAGAAGCTACCATTAACTTTTACCATACTTGCTTAGTCACATAAATATTTTAAAGGATTTAATGTTTTCCTTTTAGGAGTCCTTAGACATACCCAAAAACAAGAATTAGTACTTCCCTTATCTGGTGGAAAAACGGTATTATTATTTATCCTTAGGCCACATGATAGAAAAACGACATGTAAGTCTATTCTTATGACTAATTGGCTGAAAATAAGGAATGTGGTTCCCTAAACTATGCAGCCTCATGGTTGTAAATTAACTATGTCAGGACATCACATCATATTTCATTTTGTTAAGACAAGTTGAGCTTATTATTACACTGATTATTTCTTGAAGATCTACTTTCTTAAGTCCCAGTGAGTGATTATTAATTTTGTCTTCTTCAGAAACGGCCATCTTTCAAGCAGATCATTTCAATTCTGGAGTCCATGTCAAATGACACTAACCTTCCTGACCAATGTAACTCGTTCCTGCACCACAAGGCAGAGTGGCGGTAGGTAAATCTCTCACCAGAGTCACAGCCTCTGGCCCTAAAGGGCCATCACAAGCTTCAGCAAAGAAGAGAACCAGAGAACTTGACAGTTCTGATAGCTTAGAAATTGAGGCTTTTTGTTTTTTGGTTTTTGTGTTAAAAACAACAAAGAAAGTACCTCCAATCTTGTTGCCTTATATGTTTTAAATATTTGTACAGAATATTGAAATCTTATCTTCTGAAACAAAAGATAGTTACCAGACATTTCTCAGTACTATACACACCGTGTTAGGCAGCTTTGGCTTCTATTCAGTGAGAAATAAAAATATAGTTTGTCTGGAAATTTGCAGAGTACTCTGTTGATGGAGGACGTAGGCTGACTATAAAAACACTTTTAAAAGAAAACTTTTGATGTTATAAATCCTCTTAAGTTTTGTCAAGTGTAAAACAAAATAACAGTAATGAGAGAATTGTATTGTGTGAGTGGAAGAAGGCAGCCCAGGATGAGACAGTTGAGCTAGGTCCCATGATACGTGAATATAAATAGCACGGTCAGAGCCCACATTATTCCTCCCTGACTCAGCAGAGATTTAAGTAACTTACCTCTGCTCCTGACAGCCATGGCGGTAACATGATGCCTTACGCCACCTGCTGATGCCGAATGAACACTGCATGCACTTTAAAAATGACGGAGTTGTTTACTCCTATTATTAGATGTGTCTTTGGACTTTGCGTTTCATTGGTGTTTCACAATAACCTTATTTATTTTATTTATTTTTAAAATCTCTAGGACCAGTGAGTTAAGTAAATTTTTATTTAGGGATACAAAAGTAGTACTGTCTGCTGGAGTCTAGATGTGAGATGTGAGGGACTTTGTTCTGGGCTGAAATAATTAACAGAACAAAACATGTAAGTAATACTTGTTTACTACAGTAAGTGGTCAGTGGAGATCTAATCAGATTACTCCACTTTTAAATCCCTAGAAGGGACTCCCAGTACTCTAGGACAAAGGCCAAAATATCTAACAAGGCTCCTGAGACCCTCTGTGCTCTGGCCTCAGCAGCCTCATCTCAGGAGCATCATTCTGCCCCTTAATTTCTGGGTTGATCCCTCAACAGATGCATATTCCTCCCTCATCCAGTGTACTTGCAAATGCAGTTTCTTTGTAAAACTCATCCCATTTCAGCAGCACACTACCCCTGGCTCCCACTTCCAAAGTGGCTCCCATTTTTTATTCAGATATTAGCTAAATAGCATGTCTTCAAGGAAGCATTTCCTGACCCCAGACCAGATGAGGTTTCCCTTTATGTGTGTCCTGAGAGCATCTTTTACAGTCTTTGCTGCTATGGAATTAAAAAGGAATTTTGCAGTTTGTTATTTAATGCATGTCTCATTAGCTAAAATGTAAGAGGGTCAGATAATCTCTTTTGTTTATCACTGTACAGCATCTAGAAGGTACCTTGAACACACCAATTGATCAATAAATATTTGGGGAAGGAAATACCATGGTGGTATTAATGCTGCAATACGTAACAATTTTACACAAAAGAATATAGACATGTAAGCTAATTTGTTTGCTATAACAAATGTGCTTATATTCATTCATTCAGATATTCATTGAACCTCTACTGGGGCAAGGTGCCCTTCAGGTATTGGGCTATGGTGATGAGCAGAACAGTCCCAGTGCACATGGAGTATCCAGTAGTGAACTACTAGATGTAATTGTAAAAATAACTATTTCATTACTATTTTGATAAATATTATGTCAGAGAAATACTGGAGTCAAAGAGTGTCCAACCCAAAAATCTAATCTAAAGACATAATAGAAGGATTCCCTGAAGAAATGCTGTTTGATCTCTTTTCCTAAAGCTTAGCTTAGTAGGATTTTAATACTACTATTAATATCCTTGAGATAGGCAGTCTTTAAAGTATGCCAACAAAATCAGAAAACAGGAAGAAAGTTGGTAAGTTTTCTATATAAAAATGTAAAACCTCTCTATGGCCAAAAGTAATATCCATCATAAATTCCCAAAACAAATACCATTCTGTAATAAGTATTTTTTTCCTTCTATGGTAGGTCAGCAGTTCTAAAAGTTTTTGGTCTTAGGACTCTGTTACAGTCTGAAAAGTTACTGAGGACTCCAAAGAGCTTGTTTAAATGAGTCACATCTGTCAGTATTCACCACATTCAAAATTAGAACTGATGAAAAGTTTAAATATGTATTTATTGATTTAAAAAGCAATAATAAATCCTGCTTCTGGATTCAGCCTACGGCGTTATTACATGTCATGATGCCTTTGGAAATGTCTGTATACTTGTGAAAGAACGAGGGTAGGAAAGACAAACCTCTTACTGTTATTCTAAAAACCAGTTTAACCCTCACATCCTTTGAGCAGCTCTTGTGGGCCTCCACATCACACTTTGAAAACCACCATGAGAGACAGAGTTATTGTCTTCAAATAGTATTTTAATGAAAATGTCATACTACAGGACATGAAAGGGCATTTCACAGAAGGAGAAATCACATGGCCAATAAACCCAAGAAAAAGATCCAATCTCATTTGACAATCAAATAAATAGAAGGGAAAATAATTCATTTATTGCGTTGGCAAAATTTAAATTATTAAATACCTGAAATTATAAACTTTCTCACACTTTGCTGGTGGGAAAATACTACCTTTCTAGAGGACAATTTGGCAATATAGACCTGACTCTACCACTACCACTTTATTCCTAAGAAAATAAATGGAAAGGTTGTGCAAGAATGTGTGGACATTTGTTTATCAAAGCATCATTTATAATTATAAAACTGGAAAGCTCAGAAAGTACAATAAAAGGAGGGTTTTTTGTGCTTTTTATGGCCTTAAATATTATGATACCTCCATATACAGAGTAGTACGGAGCCATTCATGATAATACAGATCTGCTAAGTGATTTAAAAATAGAGGCCACAGTTCAGTATGTTTAGCATGATTCTACTTTTTATAAAATAAACATTTATATGTATATTTATGTGTACATAGAGAAAAGTGTCAAAAGTTCATTGTTATCATTGGGTAATGAGATTATTGGAGAGTGTGTTCTAGTTTATCTTTATTTCTACAATAAGCCTGGATTAATTGAATAATTAATTTTCTAAATGCTTCAAGATGAAAAGATGAGGGGAATAAAGTTAGTAATATGTTAATATATTTTCGTAAAAGGCAAACAGTTGCCTAGGGGGCTTACTTATTGGCTGTCTTTCAGGAACTAGTTAATCCTTAGAGCTGAAGAAGAATATTTATCTTCGTCTGGACCTCTAAACCACAGTTTGAAATGCCACAGAGCTGTTTTAACTGAACTTGGCAAGTGGTTAAAAACATGGGGAATAGTAAAAATATTAATTAGAGTGACAGTAATTGACACAGCTATCATTTATTACATTCTAACCAGATGCCTGTGCTTTGTTTTTTTATTATCTTTTTAAATCCACATTGCAACCCTAACATATCACAGATGCAAAACCCAAAGCCTGCACAGGTTAGGTAACCTGCCCAAGACCATCCTGCCTGCATGGGACCCAGGTGGTCTGAGCCCACAGGCCTGCTGTGGCTCATGCTGTGTGGAGCTGCTCCTGGACTTGGGGCCAGTATTATGCCATCCATTCATTAGCATGCAGTGTTCACTTGACTCAATTCCTTTTTTTAGCTAAGAGAAATATTACGGAGAATGATTGGTTTAAATTATCGTTAAGGCAAAACAACTATCCCACTCAATATGCAGGTGCTGAAAACAATTACCTGTTTTGTCAGATCATGTGGCTATTCAAAGGACAACACATTCAGACTCCTCCTCTCTTTCCCTGACTTGTGTTTGGTGCTGGAAACCATGTGACTAGGGCCCAAAGTGTGTATAGGAAGTTAGAGTCACATTGAAATCTGATTCCAGTCCTGCTCTCATGTTTCTGGCAAATGTGTGTTTTTTGGTAGAGCTTCTTCTATTTATAGACCAGATGGAATATCTAGTTTTAGAAAATAAATGATTATTCTGAAAATTCTTTTTGAAACTACATTATTATAAACCACATCCTTTGACCAACTAACGATAGGAAAGAAATCTAGTGTCAGACATTTCCTCATTCAACACATCTCCAGGCTGTTTCTCCTCCTATTATTAGCAATAATGGCAGTGAGCATTAAGAAGAGAAACTGTGTTATCTGTTGGTCACGTATTCAGTTCTCATTGCTTCATGTGATTGTCTGCAGACTTGTGATCTGTAGTGAGGGAGCTATGCAGTGCTATGATGGGGCATTCAGGTCTGGGTCTCTTGGCAGAACCCTCATTGTGTTCTGTAGTGATCAAAATGCTCTCATAATGGCAAACCTTAAAAACAAAAAAAAACCAGAAAATTTAATCATTGCGAACTTGAATATTAGCACAAATTGTTTGATATAATATATAACACAAAATTTAACATATGTTTATTATATAATAATATATAGCTGTTCTGCAAACTGACCTTTTATTTCAAAGGAAGTTTAGAATAAAAGAAGAAAATCACAGTTCATTGGCTGTTTTTGACATCTGGAAAATAGATACTAATGAAGTCAAACTTAGTTGGATTTGGCTTAAGGGAAAAATCATAATTTTCATCGAACTAAACGCACCATAGTTTTAGAACAAGAGAGTTACATTAGGGCATCAACAGATGTGTTTGATATAAAACAATGAATTAACAAAAGCAGAGGGAACTGCAAGAGGAGCGGCTGTCTTAATGCTGCCCTCTCTATTTGGGTTGTATCTCCTGCGTACGAACCTCCCACACGACCATCAGGTCCCCGGGAGCCTAGGGGGCCAGTGCTGGGAAGCTGGGCCTGAGCGCACAGATTGAGCAGCATGCTTCCCCCATCACTGCCTGTTTGTCGCAGCTCTCAGCTATCTGAACTGTTGACACGTTTCCCAGAAGGGCTCAAAATCACAGCGGGCAACCAGAATTGAAACTTAAGATGAATCCTTGGCTCAAGTTGCAAGTGAAATTGAATGTGTTAGCCATTTATCATGATCAAAAAAAGCCACCAGTGAGATAAGTCTCGCTGGCAGGAGGTCTGTGACTGGCTTGGCAGCAGCATTGCCTAGACGACAGCCAGGTCCCTGCCATCTCGCCGCAGAGGGTGCCCAGCTCTGCTGCCTCCTACCCTCGGACCCTCTCACCTCTGAAGACGCTTGTGTATTGATTCATCTGTTACAAAAGCTTAAACCAAGTATTTCCCACACTGATTTTCTTCCTCAATCCATTTGAAAAATAATAACGTTTATGCCCACTTATAGATGGGCATAGTATCTTTTATCAGAAATATCAGGGCTAAAATTTCCATTTTATGATACAGTCAGTTCTTCAAGTCACAGATAGCTGACTTGGTGCCTTTCTTTAGGGTCTATAGTGTGACTTAAATTGTTTTGTAATTTTAAAATGGTGCCAAAGAAAGAGATGGAGTGTTGCAGCAGAGGCTTCCAGAGTACCTCCCTCTCTCTGAAGGTACTTTCAGACAACCAGGCAAGTTTGGTTGGGACCAAATCCAGACCCACACCAAAGCTGTGCCCTGAATGGGGTTTTGTCAGTTACTACCCAGAACCTTTTGATTTTCATTCATTTACTTCCATCTGCAGTATTGGAATAACTATCCATTTATTCTGATTTTTCCTGGAAATAAAAAGGCAGTTTTTGGCTACTTATATTCACTAACTTAGATCTGAGGGCTTCTGCTTCCATAGTCAGGGTCTCAGCCAGGCTGTTGCAGCCAGTAACAGGGGTCTGTCTCAATGGCACCTGGAAGCAGCTGTTGGCAGCACTCAGCAGCTAGTCCACGATGGTCAGCTATCGCCAGGCCTGCGCTCCCGCCTCCCGCTCTCCAGGGCCTTCTCCAGCCCTGCTCTCCCCAGGCTCTCCCCGCCTCTGCTCCCCTTCTGTCCTCCTCTCCCTCCAGTCCTCCCTCCCTCCCTCTCTCTTTCTCTTTCACTTTCTCACTTTCTCTCTTCCTCTCATTACTGTTGGTTCCCTCACAGACCCTTCAGACACTTAAGGGAAAGAACTTCCAGCTCTCAGAGCATGAATGTGGATTTAAACGTTGTGACAGCCCTGAAGGAGAAAGAGAATTACACTGAGCCATGTTACCAGTTTCAGTTTCCTTAAAGGACAGGTTTTTATAACTGGATGTATTGTTCCAGGTGGTGGGGTTGGAGACTAAGGCCTATAGAGACTAAGGAAGGAAATGTCTTTTAAAATTATTAGAGTTAAAAAGAACCTTAGAGCTCATCTGGCCCAAAATTTCCTATACTTCCTGATTATAAAAATCGCCTGGGTGTTCTATGAAATATGGAAAATTCCTAGGCCCCCACCCAGCTCAACTGAATCACGAGTTCTGAGGAAGGGTCCTAGGAATCTGTGCTTTGTTGTGGGGTTCTTTTTTCTTTTTATCAAGCTACACAAGTAATTGTTAGGATCAGGCAATTTGAGGAGCCCTGATGTTAGATAAGCACCACCCCTAAAAACAGGAATCTGAGTTATTCAATCGATTACTTGAATAACTCAGCCAAAAATAGGCTAACATGAATTTATTAATGATGTGCTCATTATCACCTAAGCTGAATATCATTTTCCCGTCTCTGTCTGTATACGTGATTAGTACCTGTTTCTTGGTGCTATTAGGAGAATAAGATGAGATATAATAGAGCTTTGTAAACTCTAAAGAGCTAGATAAATGTAAGCATTTATTAAGTGGCTAACCCAGGACACCAGCTGCATAGCTTAGACTCCACCCAGTAGTTCTTCAATGCTTTGTTGAAGTATTTTGAGCTTATTTTTCCAAACTAGAATAGAAAAAAAGGCTCAGACTTGTGGTTACCAGAGGCAGGGTGAGGAATAGGGGAGACAGGAGAAAGGTAATCAAAAAGTACAAACTTCTAGTTGTAAGATAAATAAATACTAGGGATGTGATGAACAGCACGGTGACTATAGTTATCACTGCTATATATATATATATATATATATATACACACACACACACGTATGAATTATATATATTAAGAGAATAAATCTTAAAGATTTTTTTTTATTGTAGCTATAGGAGGTGGTGGATGCTAGGTAAACTCATAATGGTGATCATTTCACAGTACGTGTGAGTTAAACTGTTACGCTCTACACCTTAAGCTTATAGTGATGTATGTCAATTATATATCAGTAAAACCAGGAAAAAGTTAATGAAAGACAAGTTTTGGCCTTTTACATTGGTTAAGCATTTCTGATGGACCCACTAAGTGTTTAATGATTCTTGTGAGAGTTGGGACTTCAACCAGTTATCCCTGTGCAGGTGTGAAATTGAAGCAACTCTTGAGAGGCTGAAGAAACTAGAACGGGATCTCAGCTTTAAAGAGCAGGAGCTCAAAGAACGAGAAAGACGTCTGAAGATGTGGGAGCAAAAGTTGACAGAGCAGTCCAACATCCCAGTGAGTGCTCCCCACAGGGTCACCCCTCCCCACACCGGGAAGACAGAGCTGAGCATGGCAGCATGGCGCCGCCCTCCTTCCCACCCACCGCCACCTCCTCACTGCCTGCCTTATCCCTTCATATTAAGGGGCCTGGATTTATACTCAAGTAGAGCTCATATCTAATTTCAAATAACAAAATGCCGGAAATATAAGAGAAACACGCTATTTCTGGCTCTTTCCTTAAGAACTGTTACTTTCAGTGTGTTTGTGTATTCAAATTACAAAAATGAATCCAGTGTATTTTCACACCATCTGTTAGATCCCTGGAACATGTGCCTAAATGCTGGTGATCTTTACAGTCCATCATAATGATTGATAAGTGTAATACAAAGGCAGCTAGCTGTCTAAAAAGTCTTTGATGTGTCAGAACTTAACCAAGTTTTTCTTCTAAAAGAGAGCTAACTTAATAACATGTAAATGATAAGCACTAATAATCCTTATTCAGCATTATCATCATGGTAGCAAAAGATTGGCAGAAGACCTCTCCTGGGACAAGCTTCTAAAATTTACTATACCTAGAAAATATCTTGGTTTTTTTCCAAGTCTTGTATTTAGGGAAGGATGAAAATTCTCTTTAAAGATTTCACTATTTATACATTTACCTTGAGCTTGTGATAACCATTAAAATCTGATCAAATTTCATCATTCTTCCCTATTTGAAATGGTTTGTCATTTTGAGAATTAAGCATAAATTTATCATTATTTTTCCAGGGGTTTTAGTGGGTAATATTTGTCAACTTTAAAAATCACCAAAATAATGGGAATATTAAAAGTATACTTTGTTATATATTTTAAATTCATTGTTATAGCCACTACAGCAGGTATATTCCAAAAAGAGAAAATATGCCCTTCACTTTGCGGTCTTCAGAAAGCTTATTTTCAGAAGCCTTACTCTCCATTAAGCATCCTGTCATCCAGTGCCCAATTACAAAATATTTTCCAGTGTCTAGAGAATAAAGTAGATTGCCTTGTTTTCCATTTTATGTAGAAAGGCAGCCTGATAGCCAAAAAAGGGAAAATCAGTGAAGTTAAATGTTTATTATCCTATTTGACTTCTTCAAAAATGCCTTTGGTTATCCAGGAAATTGCAAAGTAAGAACTGAATTTCTGTATGTAAGACTATCATGGAACATTTAAAAAGTAGCCCATTTTCTAAGTTCAGTGAATTTAACTTGGCTCTCAAGAAAGCAGTTGAGGAAGTGGCCTGTTCTGGTTGAATCGCCCCCAGCAGGCGGTCTCAGAAAGCATTACCCTAAGCATCTGCGAAGAAGCACTGCCTCTCCCGGAGCTGCTGAGAAGCAACACTATGGCAGTCTTCTGAAGTCTAAAAATTGTGGGTTGTTTTGATAAGTACATTGAAATCTTAAGCTAAAAGCACTGCATGGCTTGACTCTTTCTAAGTGTAGCATTGTAAGAAACAACTTTAAACTACCCATTAGAGTATGCTTTAGAACCTTTCTTTCGTTTATTGGCATGAGTTTTGCTAAGAAATCATGGGCTGCCTTGCACATGTTATTGCTTTTAGTAACATAGTTGTGTAATAAATAATGAAACAGTACGAGTGCTCAGTAGGCTGTATGCTTGTGTTTTAACTCCAAAAAACTTCTGTGAAGGACCTGCTCTGAAGTCTACTATCTAACAATGGACAGCATGAAGCATGATCTTAAAGATTTTCTTCCTTTTTTTACTTATGAGGACTGTTTTCTTTCTTTACAGTACTTGCTTTTAATGTCTCTCCTGCTTAGAGCTGGTATTTCTGAAGGAAAGAAAGTTTGTGTTCAAGTATTTTATAAGTTGATGTTTTCTTTTATCCTCTCATCAGTTTCTAGTTGACTTTAAATGAGGTTTCTGAGAGAAAGATAAAATAAAACTTTTTAAAAGGAAGTCAGTCTTCTGGAGGCTTAGGTTTTCTGCATATTTTCTGCATGTAGCCTTATCTCAATTATAAAAGTGTAACATTTATGTAATTTCATCAAAAATTGTATTAATTTATTTCAAGGAAGGACACTATTTTGTTTCCTGAAATTAAAATATTAGTTAAAGATATTTGGGAAGACGAAGTCACCATACATAAATATATACAATGTCTGTTTTTTAATTATTATAGCTTTCTTTTAAAAATAAAAGCTTGAGACATTTGTGGAGATCTTAGCATAATGTTAGGAAAAACCCAAGAAATAATAAAATAAATAAGCAACAAAGAATTTTTCCTAAGAGTATCTAACAATTGAAAACAAGTTTGAGAAGCTGAGAAATTTGACTACAAGCAAAATAATGTCCTGCTTCTAGTGTTAAAAGGTCTAAAGCAATAAAGATCTAAAGCAATTTTTTTTCTTCCATATAAGTGGTCCTTTTTGCTGAAGTGTGTGTGAAGTTCTTACTGAATAGCGAGTCCAGAAGTCTTTTCCTTACAGAATAAGATATTTTTTTTTAAACTCAGTCCCAACTTCAATTTAGAAAAAAAAAAAAAGAAAAGAATAAATAAATAAATAAATAAAAGTTAGGATATTAGCCCTAAAAGTAACTTCACACCAAAAATGTAAAGCTCATCCCAGAATCCTATTATTTGTACATTGTTTATCATAAATTTACCCATATTTAAACTATACCAAAAATATAAACCTTAATTTTCTTGTTTCTCCAAAGAAGAGGCAGGAACACTTTTCAGATGCTAACAGTCTTACCCCTACAATGAATATGACCGACATTTATGGGAATAGATTGGCTGTTTGGAATAGTCACAGAAGGTAGAAAATAAATGTCTGTATTCACTGCGAGAAGGAGAATTCCACAAACAAAATTCTACTAAAGAAGAAACCTTATATAGTAGAGAGTAGAGAAAAAGGTAACAATCTAAGTTAATACTCATTTCCTTTCCTCCAAACATGTATTTACATAATTGTTTGTAACTTAAATGTCAGAGACAGAATCTAGAATTTGTTCACAAGTGAATTACTTCATAAATGGAATAACTAGTGTTGTATCTGACTGTATGGAAACAAGTGAATTCTAGATTCATTTTTACTTTATAGGCAGATAGTAACCAGATAAAAGTAGTTCATGACTCAGAACTTCCTAGAACTGTATTGACCACTGAACAGTTTTCACGTTTCCCCTAAGCTTTTCTTCTCTGGTATAACGTTTCTTGATTTTTGCTTGAGATTTAACCTCTACTTAATATAATATAATAAGTTAACTAAGTGTTTCTGTGTGAAAGTGACATTGGGAAAAATTAAGAGAAATCCTAAAAGCTGTTTTATTTTAAGCAACATGAGGACTTAAAACTTTCCACTTCCTTCCCATTTGTAATTTGGCTTGCTATGGTGCTTTGCAAACTTTTGGTTGTGCTTTACTCTCTCATTTATAAATTATGGCAAATATACTGGAGCCAAACCTGCCTTTAAATAAATACTCACAGAATTCCCTACATTCACTGGTTTCACTAATCTTTTGCCTTCCATGCAATACCCACTAATTTTGTAGTATCTGTTTCCTTTTTTTAAATTGTTCCTAATTTCTCTTTTTACTTCTGTCCTTTCTTCCCTTATGATAGCTTCTCTTGCCTCTTGCTGCAAGAATGTCTGAGGAGTCTTACTTTGAATCTAAGACAGAGGAGTCAAACAGTGCAGAGATGTCATGTCAGATCACAGCAGCAAGTAACGGGGAGGGCCATGGCATGAACCAAAGTCTGCAGGCCATGATGCTGATGGGCTTTGGGGATATCTTCTCAATGAACAAAGCAGGAGCTGTGCTGCATACTGGGATGCAGATAAACATGCAAGCCAAGCAGAATTCTTCCAAAACCACCTCTAAGAGAAGGGGGAAGAAGGTCAACATGGCCCTGGGGTTCAGTGATTTTGACTTGTCAGAAGGTGACGATGATGATGACGGTGAGGAGGAGGATAATGACGTGGATAATAGTGAATGAAAGCAGAAAGCCAAGTAATAAAATTGAAAATCTTCAGAAAAACAAAAGAAACTTGTTATCTCAGTCTGTACAAAAACTAGTAGAGAAATAGAAAACCAAGCACTGCATTTTGAGGTCACTCGCACTTACATGGCAGTCATTTCTTTATCAAGTATACTTTCGATCTGGTCTTGCTTACAGAAAAGTGGGGGAAATATTAAGCCAAAAATATATATTTAATGAATCAGCAAATGTGGTGCCTGATTATAGAAATCTGTGATTCTATATATAATATCGTATTTTTTAACTAATGACATTCTGGCTTTTTTTTTTTTTTAAGGAATATAGTTTATATGTGATTTGATTTGATTTCACTTATTCAATTGCTTAAGAAAACTTAACATTTTGAACAAGTATTCTTGACTTCTAATTCTTTAACATTTGATTTTCTTGCAGCACACGACATACTTTTTCTTATGGCAATACACTATACTGTCAGAAATAATTGATAGTGACTGCAAAATCAAGTAATAAAACCACTGACATGAAAGGAGATAACAGATACTTCTTCAGAAATAACTAAATGCCAAGAATTTTCAGTACTTAATAGCACAACTACTCAAAGTAAAACATGAGAGATGTGCTCAATAGTGCATTTGAAGGAGAAACACTCTCATTTGAAACCAACAGAAGTTGCAGCTTTTCATACCTGAAAGATGCTTAACAACAACATACTGTCATCTAAAGCTTCACTTATACTTCATTCAGAGAGAAAGATAGAATCTTAAGAGGGTACTTCCAGGCAGTGTGAGTGTTAACGCCAGCCCGCTCAGCCCTCCCACTAAGTGTATGTGTGTGTGTTTGTGGTCCGGGAGAGCACAATAATCCTGTTCTAAATATATGTATTGGCATTTTGAAGAGGGAACTCAATTTTAGAAAAGGAATAGCAGAGATAATAAGTTATCCTCACTTAGGCAGAAGTAAAGGATGAAGGGTCCTTTTTCTATCAAATCCAGCCTTCCAGAGTTGTCTTTTTTTTAACCCTGATTCAGCTATGCTGGTGGGAAAAAGAAGAAAGTAAAAGTGCTGCTCTGAAAACCTAGCTAGCCAGAGATATATTCTCTGAACGTTATCACATATCTGTCATGCTCATTTAAACTATAAAACACTGTTTAAAAAAAAATTTTTTTGCAGTTACAGTTTTATACACACATACATAGAAAAGCAAAAGAGCAAAGACTATTTTTCAGCCTAAATTAGAAACCAGTGCCATTTATTTGACTATTAAATTATTTTCAGTGGTTCTTGTTATGGAAGATTTAAGAGAAGATATCATAGATATTATCTAATACTATTTCCCAGTATATTCAATCATAAGAAGTCTCTTAGAATTTGAAGCATAACATGCTTCTAATCTCCATTAAGAGCTGGAAAATACCACAAAATGAGCAGAAAGCTGTGCCAGCATTATTTGGAGAAAAATAACAAAATGTTCTGAGTGTGAAATATAGAAAAGTCTATGTACATAGTGATAATTCAAAACTGCTGTGCAATCTTGGGCAAATTACTTAGCCTCTGTGTGTCTGTTTGTTCATTTTTAATGTGGGAATGATAATCTTACTCAAAGGATTATTATGAGGATTCAGTGACATCTACCTATGCAGCACTTAACACAGCACCAGGTCCATGGCAAGTGGTCAGGTCATGTCATGTAACATTAATTATGCCAGTGAAAGGATACTGTAAAATAAGTGGCTCCAGTCACCTTCTGGAAAACTGAGCTGTCAATTTCAAGTGATAGATACTGAGTAGTATGAAATGAAAGTTAAAGTAAATAGCTTTCAAGAAAGATAAAGAGCACATTCTTAGAATACAAAGTATTTAACTAGACAGATTTAACCTGCTATTCTTTGAAGACCATGCATCAGTGCCTAGGTTTGTCTAGTCTGAGGTATTTGCAGGCCTGGCTATCACACGCAAACTAAGGAAACACAGAAGGAATAGGTCAGACCTTCCCTAGAAGTGGGGTTCCCCACATACCCAATCTGACAGACTTCCTATGTCAATGCAGACATAAACAGATACATGCACACCACAATACAGGGCTGGTGACAAACAGATTCAGACATAAATAGGCATCCTGTCTGTGCTCAGACATGGAGAAGTACTTACTCCCCGATTCAAGGCACATGGGGGTGTCTTGTGGATTTTGAAGTGTGGTTAGGAAAGACCTAACCAATAAGAGAATCTCTGTGAGCTGATTTTGGGATTTGTACACTTTATGTAAGAATATAAACATTGGCTCTTATTTAAGAATAATCAGCAATAAATTTAGAACATATAAAATGAATGAATCTGACATTTTTCTTAATTTACATGTAAATCTATTATGATTATACATAAAGTTTTGGGGTATTAATAAAAGCAGCTAAGCAGGGCCAGAAGAAACTCAATGCCCAGACCTAGGCTTACCATTATTAACTAGACAGTATCACTCTAAACTCTACCACTGCTGTTTCCTCACCAGTATTCCAGAAATGGTCATAGCTTAATACGCCACCATCAAGAAACAGCAGGGATTTAGCATACAGCAGAATTGATAACCTCAGTGATAAACCTGAAATTGTTCTCCTCCTAGAATTGTACTATAGGTAATTACCATATGACAATAACTATTTTACTTTCTGTTCTAAATCAGTGTCTCTCTAGGGTTTTGAACATCCCTAAAATCTGAATCATATAAACAAAATTTTAAAGTGGTCTTACTCTATCTGTAAAGATTATTTAGAAGACTTTAAACTCTATTATTAGTTTTATTACTTTAAAAATGTTAAATTTTTTTATACATATGCAGAATTTCTGATGACAGTGTTAATTGTGCAGCTTTTAATCACTTTTCAGATCAGTTTTTGAAATGGCAAACTTATTGGTGGTGGATTTATTTCCAATTACCTGACTTATAAAACTGTGTTTTTATAAAGACAAGAGTTAAACACTGAGAAATCCAACAATTTAAAATGAGAATTGAAACTTTAAATTGTCATAATAATTGTCAGAGCTATACAACTGAAAATATAGCTACTCTTTCATCTTTTTTTCTTTATTCATAAAGTTGGTCATGTGGAATTTGCTGACACCCTACCACTGGTTCTCAACCTTGGCCGTCCAGTCACCTGATAGTGTTTGGGAGCAGCGGGGCAGGTTTTTGGGTGCCACAGGAACTGAAGGTGTAATACATAGTGTCAAGACAGGGTGTGCCAATGTCAAAAATGGTAACATCCTGCATGCCAGGAACAGCCCCATCCAAAAAAGAATGCCATCCACAATAGCAATAGTGTTGTCCCTCCCCCACTGAGAAACTTGCTAAACCTGGCAGTTTTAGTTAGATTCCCACATCAAGTTTTTTTTCCCCAAATGAAATTACCCAAGTCAAAATATACATTTCCAGATTACAACTACACCCAACCTGAACATTATGAAACTCTCCTGTTATACTCAGTACACAATAAACAAAAAAGAAAAACATCTCTGAGGTAGCTATACTTCTGTGAAGTAGCTGTGTTTAGTTTAAAAGGACTCTTTTCCTAACAGTCTTTTTTTTTTCAGCAAAATCACAGTAAAATTTTAATATTTTACATAAATAACCAATGAGAAGAGGTTGAAGGCACATCGTACACTTGGCTGGGATGCCCTGGAAATGTCGAGGACTGGTTTTTAGCCAGTGGTTTTTAACATGCAATAGACTCGTTAGACTTAACTCCAGCTGAGGTATTCAAACTTCACCCCCAAGGAAGTGGGGGTGAGGGAAAGATTTGGGAGAGCTCCAGAATGACCTCTCAAGCACTATAATATGTGTAACTTTCTTTCTCAGAGTTTTCATTGGAGTGGTAAGACTTTCATGAAAGATAATTTAAAACTTACTCTAGGTTAAATACTGATTTTTTTATTTTTGATACACTGGACTTGTTGGCAGTCTTTTCACACTTGCAGTCTTGCCATGCCACGTTTATGATAGAGCACAATTTCTATGTGATCAGGCACCTTTGCTGCTTTTGAGTGCGACCATTTTCCTGTTTAGATTGCCAGAGAGAAGAATCTGTTCTGTTCCTTTGAGTATAACATAGCCTGATAGCTCTGGACACAGCATTTCCATGATGAAAACTGAGTGGCTACCAGGAATTCTGAAGGACTAGCCATGTTTCCTCAGGTTCCAACTTAGTTTGCACTCTCTTGCCTGTGCGGGGCTTTCCGGCATTTGACTGTTTACTTCAAAACTAGAATTTCAAGCAACTACATTAATTATTTTATATCATGTGCAGAATAGTATATCTTTTAATGGCAGATACAGTGCACTGCACAGATTGCTTTTGCACTCTCTTAAACATTTTGTACTAAATAATAGAGAATATTTATATCCTTTGAGTGTGAGCTTTGACTAGATGGCATTATCACTTTATTGTTTTTTTAACAAAAGCTTTTTCTCAGTTATTCTATTGCAGTATTATTCTGAGCAAATCTTATACCAAATATGTTGTATAATGTTTGTATGGAAGATTAAATTGTACTCTTGTGTGGTAAGACTACTCAGTTACTGACTTCACGGTTGGAGTTTGATATTCCAGCACAAAGTCCATGATGTATTCAGAAATCCAAGTTGGTATCATACATTTCATTTTGATGTGAACTTTTCTTTGCTTTCCTTTGTTTTAAGACTCCATTTTGCAATAAACGTTTTGACATTAATTCCTTTGTTGCGTGTGGCTGTGTATATCAGATCTTTGTTAGGTTGGATTCCCAAAATCCTTTGAAGGAATCACTGTCATATGCATGCACGTGAGTGTGAGCTTTTCACTCCTAAAATCGGTTGGAGTTTAAATAATGGATTTGTAAAGTGATGGGATAGTCATGAGGAATTTGTTTTTATCCTCAAAGAAAGAAACGCTTAGAACTCACTCTACAACAGATTTACTGGTATGTTAACAAGGTATAGAAAACATAAAGGAAATGGTAAGCCACTGTGTGGCTGGATATCATTAACTCTTTCCCATCTTGCCAAATTCAACCTGTCTTGAAGCAGTGCCTAGCTCCAGCCTTCTTCTCAGTGATCTTCGCAGGCACCCTGCAAGGATGCTGCTGGGCTCGTCACACTGACTCCCGTGCCCTTCCCGTGGCGCCATCTTCATGAGCCATCCCAGAGCCCAGGGTGCCCCTACCCTCCTTTTGACATTAAAACCAAAGATATTGATTTTGACTAGTTTCATTTACAACCCTTATTCTATTCAAGAAATACTCATCAATTTTGTTTAGCACAATATTTGGGAATTGTATAAAAATCAAAACACTACACATTCCCGCACTCCCTATAAAAGCCAGCCTTGATGCAGGGAAATACTTCTGTAACTCACTCTGCTATTTCTTGAGCTAATCAGAAAAGTTCCTTATTTTACATTTGTTCTCATAATGGAGAAAGGGAAGAACATGTATCTACGGCTATATTCAGCTGCCCAATGAAGAAATAAAACTTGCCATGTATTTTCTTTGATCCAGTTCAGTTTTAGATTATATTCTTCAAGTCATTTTCCTTTCTACAATTTTGAAGCAGGTGAGTGCATGTAATGATTCCTGCATAACATCAGGTATCTCAGAGAAGGAAAGGGGCAATCCTGAGGGCCTCGGAGCACGTAGGGGTAGCAGAGCATATACAGAACAGGAGCAATTTATGCCCTTGCAATTTATCTATAATCTCTACACATTCATAGTTACTGTAACCAGTAGATATTTTTTAAAATTCTGGTTGGCCCCCTAGAGATTTTAAGCATTGCCAGAGAGAGGTGAAGCATTTTAAGTCTTTGCCCTTTATCCTCTGCCATGCACACACCTCCTCTGGTGCTCAGGCCCATGTGCCATGCGCTCTGCCTTGGTGCTGCCCTTCGCCTGGAATCCCTTCTCTTTCCTTGCCTGCAGTACCCAGCTCAAGCTACCTTGCCTTCCATTCCCCCATTTTAGTCTATGAAACCGTCCCTTTTCCCTGGTATACCCCTACACATTGAACTCTATGCCAGAGAATTTAGCATTTAGTAAATGCACCCTTCAGTTTTATTCATTCAACAAAATTGTGCAACAAAAATCTACCAGGTATTGTATGCAAAGCACTCGGCTAGGCACTGAGTAAAGCAAGATGAAGACCGCCTTGAACTCCTCCATGTATAATCCGTATCTGTTTCACCCCCACTTAAATTAAAAGCTCCTTCCAGGGAAGGACATGCATTTCCAAGCAGTTTCAAGAATGTGACAAAATACTTGCAGATTAGAAGGATTAACTCACTCACCCTCTACTTTTTATACTAATAGTAAAAGCAACTAAATTCAACTTCTCTTTTTTAAACTGACTCCCAAAAAACGATTATTTGTATCAAGTTGAATGATACTTTGCTGTGTTATCTCACAAGCAATCCAACCATTTTGGCAAGTTACATTAGTTAAAGCTAATGACTATAGCAAAGTCTTGATCAAGTCACAGAACACACCAGATTTTCTCATATTATGAACGCATTTATCATTTAGTCTATGGCCAGGGAGCATATATGGCTCTGAAAATGGTGCAGGCTGAAGTCCTCCTGCAAAATTGTATTTCAAGTCTGTGCACCTGATAGGGAGGGAGGTTCGTTTACAACTTGCAACCTGGGTTTCTTAGGAAAGTTGCAGTCTCACTTGTCCTTCTTCACCTAGGAGTCCTAATATTTAGTTTTAAGAATATAATGCAAGTGAGGTATTTAGTTAAATACTTCCAAATTGTCCTGTAAGAATAAGCATGTAAGTCATCTGGTTGCCAAGTGGTTGCTTTGGAATTTTCATTAAAAATCAAACGATCCTCAACACAAATGCTGGGCATAGAAGCCACAGGGCATAAATATGCAAAGAAGTAAAAAGCTAACCTTTTCAAACAATATGGCTTCTCTCTCACTTACCAACTTTACATTTCCCTGTATGGCCCCGGAAGATGACTGGTTAGCCAGAGACAGGTAAGATTCCTCAAGGGAGGAACAACCTAAGACAGGCACAGTCGCAGGGGGGCCATCAGGTGAGAA